CATTCTTCAAACGCAAGATAACATCATCAACTCTCATTAACATGACTAGGTACTTTGAAGAATGAAACAGCTCGATGCATTTTTCAAGTTCAAAAGTTTATCAAGATGTCAAAGATAAGCCAAACTGACACCTTATGATCTTCCTAGATCTGGAGTCAACGCCAGGAGCTAAATCCAGTTAGTCCACATTTCATTACAAGCTGTTGTTGAAGTCATGTAACATTCCAAGATTTGATTAAATAATAACAGGTCTTACAACTTTTGACTCAACTCAGACAAATGTTTAAATTGAACCCTAAACATCTTCTGATAATGATGTAATGCCATCTTGTTCTTGTAACCTTAGCTTACAACCTATCCATCCGCTAGCCAAAACAAATGTTTCAAGCCCAATTAAGATGAAAGGTTATCTGCAACACTAAGAGCCTAATAAGGCTTCATCTGATATCCCAGCACATCTGCCTGATGAAACAAGAGGTATTGGCGCTAGAACAATACAACAGTGTGACCTGACAATAACAAACTGAGGTAAAACCAACACATTGAGTCAAATGATTGATATAACAGCCCGCACACTCTTAGCATAATGGTCAGCAACATCAGCAATGGTCATCCACGAACTGCCCGCTAGGTATTTGGCAAATGCAGCCTCACCTATACACATTCCTCTGCCAAGAAGACCTGAGGAGGCAAGTCCCTCACATCAAAGAAAAACACACAAATGTAATTCCCCCATTCCTGGGCCGACTGCGGTAAGGTAAACTGGAAATGTCCATCAAATGGCCAGCAGGGGGTAGGAGATATGCAGGCATGTTCATTATGATCCAAAGGATGAGGTTTCATTACGGCCATCAAGACAGGATGGCATGGATATTCTCTGATCCTCCGGCAAATAACACCTCCTTCATTTCACCTTCATTTCCGTTTGGTACAGTCTCTGTCAGAAATCATTATGGCTTAAATTATGATCTGCTGTCAGAACCACTGGACAAGCTATGAACTTAGCCCAGAGTTTTCTAAAATCAATATTTTCAAACCAAATTATGTCTGGTTACTGTCAGAAATTACGAATGCTTTTGGAGTTTAAAGTTTAATCCTCTGACTTAAAATCTTTTGTGACAAGGTCAACTCTTTTGTATACCTTTCAGCACCAACAGCAATCACTTAAGTGTAACGTTAAGGAACATCCTAGCAGCTAGCAGAACTTAAGGGGTGTCATAGATTATCACTACACAGGCTAGAGCATATTGCAGATTAAGTTGCATGCCCCGTGAATCATGAATTAAATATCTAGGGGACTACAGTAATTAATGTATCTGAAAGTAACAGCTACACACAAGGCAAGTGACCTAGACATACAAATGTCCACCTGTTCTGAAGTAGTCCGTGTCAAAAGTCAAGAGGTACCATTCCCATATTTGTATACTTCTGTGGGATCTGCTTTCAACACTCCACTCCTGGAGACTTTACTACGATCAAATTACATCACACAAGTTAAGAGTCTGCTGCAAGTCTCACATATTTGCATTGTACAACCCAAATAGAACCATGGGTTATCTCAAGCTGAACACTTTTGCTGACATGCATCATGAACTCCAGATACAAGCTAGTACAAGAAACCTGTTGCCACAAATTTGTAATCGAGGCCTGCTGACACAAACTTATGTTACGTCTATTGAGGGTTTGTGTGTCCGAGTCTCAATAAATAACCTTAGATTTCAAACTTAACCTTGAATGTTAATGAACTTCAATACTGGTCATGAAAGAGAGATATTCGCATCCTAAAAAACTTTCATGCTAAATATCATGCAGCTAAAACATAATTTTGACAAAACCAGACACCTGTTCTGTTTACACCATAATTATCCCAACAGCAGGTCACTGTATGACACAATTCAGTATGGCAGGCTTTGTTACTTTCACTTGACAAATCTTCAGAACTTTCACCTCATGAATCAGGGTTTCACAATACCACACTTTAGACCCCTCTTGTAGCCAGGACAATGCACCCATTCACAAGGTTTGTAACTGCTGTCCTAAACAGCAAAGATGATGCTGACATTTATAAAAATGACAAAAAATTTACATTCACAGAAAGCTTCTGATCTAGTTGAAAGTATGTTTGTTTTCAAATCCGTAACTACAATGTAAAACAATACCTTCAACACTTCGTTTTTATGTGAGAATATATAATAGTAAAACTCAAAACCTGCCATGTTCAGTATCTGCATTTGTATGACCAATGAGAATGACAAGAGACCAAATTAAATCATAAGTAGTTAAAATATATAGTGCATTAAGCACTGGTCTGAAAACTGAGAAAATATCACAAAATACTAACATTCATTATTTTTAACAATGTGTGTATACAACCCTACAAGGATACATGGCTTTATATTTGTATCATGGCACAAAGTGATTTTGTTTACACCCATATACTTCACAAGAAACATATAGTATACGATTCTGCATGGCATAGTGTTCTAAATGAGGGGGTACTGGGGCTCCTCAGGCTTTCTCCTCTGGTATTTGAATCAAAGTCAATTCCTAACATTCGACATTTTGGTTATGACAAGGGACTTTTGACTTTGATGCTTAATTTTTTTAACACTGAATATCATCCTTTTGTTGAATTCAAGGCATTGTGTTTTGTCTGTGGGATCACATCCCAAATTTCAATGTGTGCAATGCCTTCTAAACGAAACTGCTTGTATACATGTCCAAGTACTGTGGATTAAAATGTCACAGCACTGATACACTCCTTTGAGGAATGTTGGCCACAAATACATCTGACATTTGGCTTCATCCTGGCTACAGCACATTCAGGCCAAATACATTCCCACTGAGCTGGAGACCTCTATGCCAGTGTTAGGCTCAGCTTGTTATTTCAAGAAACATGAATGCTTCTCAGGAAAACACTTATAATGTCCTCGCACACTAATGCTTTTCATTTGCAGTCAATGACTAATCATATATCCTTCAATCTAGGATTGACTTGCTGCTACTCAAATTACATTTTTATTTGAATAATTAGCATCGTATTTGAAATATATACTAGTGGAAATAAATGAAAAAATGTAATTTGTTTTTAATTCACATAATGTTTAAAACATACTAGACATAAGTAAAATGAAGAAAATAAGTATCATGGAAGGAAATTCACACTGCTAGCTAGCATGGCTAAAGAATTTAAATCAGAACTGACAAATAACTTTCAAGGAGACATTCATGCATGACATTTTTCATACATGAAAGCTGGGTTTTTAAAAAATATATTTTCCTGATTGTTTCTTTCTTGCACTAAATCTTTCAAATGTTGCTGTGACTTTAGCTGTCAGACTGCCACATCTCATAAGGCCTAAATGCTAAGATTAACAATGTATCCCCATCCCATGTTATAATGAGGCAATGAAATGTACACATCTAGAGACTTGTGTGTCCAATGTACATTTCAGGTGTTAATCCCCAGGGGCGTGTCACATGATCTCAACTGTCAGTTTCTACAAGAGAAGATAATGTATACCATCCTAACAATTATGTCACAGTCATAAAGTGCCTTTCATTGGAATGTGAAGAATGTCAATGTTTCAGTTGAAGATTTGACTCCTTCACCCTGCTATATCTTGCTTCGATAACCAGTGACAGATTGAGCCAATGCTGGACACCCCGATAACTAACAACAAGTGACATTTTGTGTGTTTGGGATTACTGGCTCAATCAATGTTTACAAAACCTTGGCTTCTAATATAAAGTGGTAACTGTAGCTTTTAGATAAGTATTAGCCTTGTGACGGATGGACCAAGAATAACATTTACAAGATATGCCCAATTAACAAAAATTAATATTTTTGAAGTGCAGCCATAAAACAAAATTCAGCAGCTGGATATCTAGAATCTCGTATGACATTAACTTGTCCAAATGATCCACAATGAGCTCATGTAAGATACGAAATTGGTGCAGAGAAAATAAAACATACATGAAACAAAATCATTATTCATGAGGACATTTAAACTGCATGTGCATTTGACATGCCTGACACTGAAATTATACGGGTAGAATGATTTGTTTCTAGTCAGTATCATAATGGAAAAATTGCAGTTCAATAGTTACAACAAATATGCGCAGCAGATAGCTGATGTTTATGGTTGATATAAACAGTACTAACCACAATAACACCTTTGTAACTAAAGAGCAATAAAACCAGGTCAACGGGTGAAATAATAAAGAAATCAATAAATGAGCAGGTAAACACACATGAATATGGGTCATCCTCGACTGTTGTATTCATCGCCAGTATTGACAATAATAGACATTCCAACAAGCTTAATTAACCTTCTTCTAATACTACTGGACAATGCATGACACAACACTAATTACAGTGGTGTTACAAATACGAATGGGCCACTGTCAACTGCAATTTGCAACCTGATCATACTTAAATGATCTATTACTTTTTATTTAATGGTCATTTCCTAGCCAATTAGCAAGCTGGAAATGACTCCTGTTTCACTTGGGAAATCAGGTGTTTTGGAGTTTTCTGCTTGATTGACCACACAGGCTCAGGTGTTGATTAACGAAGAGCTGGTGGCATTCATTTCATACTGTACACACATGTCAATCAACATGGCAGCTGCACCAATGCATGTAATATGTCTTTTAGTTGCAACACAGATATTATATTATATTATATTATATTATATTATATTATATTATATTATATTATATTATATTATATTATATTATATTATATTATATTATATTATATTATACAACTTTGATTAGTTCTACTGTAAACTTGATTTTGATCATTTCAGTTAATAAATGATTGTAACATTGCATCACGTGCAATAACAGAACAAAGTATTTCTTTGTTTACAAACTGAAACTACTGACACACACGAAATGTGTGAGAAATGCGTCCATATGACACATGTTGTAGAATAGCGACTACCGATGGGAAAGGAAGAGAAACAGGGTTATACGTGGGCTGAGAAACCTACCTAGCGCCTCAACGAGCTCTAGCATCAACCCTCCGATGTGCAGATCTCCTTTTACACGGAGCGTTTTCTCAACTTGCAAATCCGTCACGGTGATAGTGAGTTCCCATGATCCGTCCACTCTCCCCGCGTCTGCGATAAATGCCATTGTATCTAGCTACAATCCAATCTTGAAACACAAATAAATCTTGGGTTCTTGAAAGATTTTAAACTTTAGCGCGGGTTGAATACATGTCGCTGAACTCTCATGGTTGTAGATCTACCATCCGTCCGAACAAGAGCACAGGGTTCCACAAAGCCGCGCTAAAACGAGGCAATATTTGCGCTCGTGTAGTTCGTTGATGATTAACAAATCCAAATGAAATCACACAAGTGGTGTTTGCCAGAGACAATATCAGACGTGACACCAGTCGTCGAATTATGACAACAAACCGATAGGGCACAACACCTCCAGATTCGAGGTAGGCAGATAAGGCGAGCAACACGGGTTATTATCGGCCACAGTGCAAACTATCCCATCCAGCTTCCGCCGAACAGACGACAGTCTACTGTTTCGCTTCACTGCTAACTGAAATCCGTAAACTACAATTCCCCCCATCCACAGCGGTAATAGGTGTGTATTTACGTACTGTTGACACTTAGTACGATCTCTCGTCCTCGAAAAGTAGAACTCCGCTGACTCAATTCGACATGTCCCTATTAGGAAAGGCGTAATCTGCATTCAATGGCCAAGAGCGATTTGGAAGGTGCATTGTGATTGGCTGATATTAACGGCAACGCGCACCTTGTTTGACCCATAAACTTTGCACTAACTTTGGGTGTTAGTCACTAGACCTGGTGTACCTCAAGTTGTATATTGTGCTTTACAATCATACACGTGTGTTGAAGACTACAACTGATTTAGAGAAAAATCACTGAATATTCTAAGGGAAATCCCACGGCATTCCTGAGAAAAATATAGACCAATCACAGCGTGTGTTAAAAATAAAAAACGCCAACTCATTTTATCAACACAATGACGTCATTCCAAGGAATCCCTTCCCTATGAGGAGATTTCCCCGCTGTTTACCACGCGAATACTATCAGGCAGTGGCAATTTTCTTGCTATTTCGCAGTTGTCTCAGAAATATACTCGACTGGTAATACGAAGCCGACTGTATAAACACACCAGTTCGTTTTTAGCATTAGGTGCAATAAAAGCAGCTTCGTTTGCCCGGTGTTCCTATGGGAACTCTTCATGCAGAAACAAGTCACAAAATATATTTAACCGCATATGCATTAATAAGAACTGTTTATGCATTACTTTCAAACCTGAAAACAAGGGTTCGAACACGAGACCTTAGTGGGTTTTTTGACATCAACTATCATACTCGAACCGCTTGATTACCGTTATAATGCAAGTATGAAAGAACATATAAAAGCCGTTGTAGTATTTATGTAAATATATATGATATGGAAAGCTGAGTTATGACAACGATAGCAACACTGCCTGCTAGAACTTCCTACTTCTACTACTACTACTACTACTGCTGTTGCTGCTGCTACTACTACTACTACTACTACTACTACTACTACTACTACTACTACTACTACAACTACTTCTTCTACTACCGCCACATCTCCACTACGTCATTCTAAATACATGACGAACATCTTGATATATTGTGAATAAGAAAGGATTTAATCTCAACAAGTTTGCCGAGCGTTTGTATGGGTACAGTAAATCAAGACACAGGCTGAAGTGCCAGGACTGGCCAGGGAAATTACACCCACGTCTAACAAATCGTGTTGTCTCCCGCGAGCTCCAATTACCTGTGTCAAGTAGCAAGGTAGCAAATAACCACCTGACCAGGTAAGTGGAGGTCTGGTTACACCTGAATTATCTCCCTTGTCAATAAGGCGTGTACATATACAATGTACGAGAATTCTGGTGACAGTTCTCGTGAGAACTGATTTTAAAACACTACCACTGCAAACAAAGCTCCTGGTGCCTTTGGTGCTCAACACAGTCTGTGCCTGTCTTATATGCTACATCAATTATACACATTAAAATGGCGTCAACATCGCACTTTTTCAGTAATTTCATTTTCATATATGTATCTGAAACAAACCAATATGATCTTCAATTCACCATGGCCAGTGCTCCTCTATTGTCATACCGATGAAGAGATGAACCGGCTGTACCAAATACATCCTTATTGTGAGTGCATGCTGTTCACGTGTGTAGGTTTACACCACTTTGACAGTGTTTCTGTTCTACCAAGCCAGCTTGAGTATTATGTGTTTTTTTTTTGTTGTTGTTTTTTGGTTGTTGTTTAATACCCCACTCAGACAAGACAGGCATCAGTCTACGTACTTGGGATAATATGACATGCAACAACCAAGTTGGTCGGTCTAAGTCCCTGAACCACAGTATCTCCCTACTACCTAGCCCTCCCTGCAGTGCTGAAGACCTAACTGAAGCAAGTCTAGATTTCCCTAGGTTCAGGTTCCTGAATCTCTCAACTCACTGGGGCTCCTTTTCAATTTGACTGGGTTTTTTTGTGTTAATTTTTTGTTTTTGTTGCTATAAAAAATATATATATATTCATGCACTCAGCGTTATTCTACAACCAAGTCAGCAAGCCTGACTAGTCACCAGATTCGCCTCTCGACAGGCATGTTTTGCTGAAGTTCACTTCTAACCAGGATCTTCTCGGATGCTGGGTAATTGAGGTCGAAGTGATCCGGGTTTTCAGATATTTATCTCTTTGTCGATTCTGCAAATATGTGTATGTGTATGTTAACAAATCACAGATCTTGACCAGGGCGGATCTCACATTTGAAAACTCGATTAGTGTATCCTGACACAACTTAGGGTGGCAACGGTTTGCGACATCCGGGTTTTACTACATTCTAGGAAAAGTGTTTTCGTCGCATAGTTGCGTATGTCCTGTTTACTAGATACACCGGTCTCTAACATTGTCCGAGCTGTTAACACAAATATAAGGCGCCTCTGTAATAAACTCTTTTTCCAGTGCCATTAGGTTTCGAACTTACCCCAGGAATTATATCTGATACGAGGGATGACTGTAAGGCCCTGTGCCGATCTACGAAGGAAGTTCAGTATACCTTTAATAGCTTGCATGTCTGAGGTACAATACTTCCCACGCTCACATGATGCATCTCAGACCCGTGAAGATCCGGGTTAGAATTGATCTTCAGCAACCCATGCTTGTCGTAAGGTCAGGTGGTCAGGCTCGCCGACTTGGTTGACACATGTCATCGGTTCCCAATTGCGTATCCCAATATATTGATGCCCATGCTGTTGATCACTGAATTGTCTGGTCCAGACTCGATGATTTACAAACCGCCGACACATAACTTTGAACATTTGCTGAGTGTGGCGTAAAACTTAACTCACTCACTCACATGATGCATCTCAACTTCATACACACTGGCATGTAGCTTATTTCTTGAGGCTGCAGTGACGAGGTACTCACTGTTGCTGAAAATGGACAATATTGGCTTTTGCGTGGTCTCTAAGTGTCTCCAACCTGGAAGGACCCCAATCAGCAACCACCCTTGTGGACATCGGTGTGAGCTTCAAGGGAGGGTGCTGCTTCCTTTGCCATTTTCACAAAGGAGAGAGATGATCAGGATCAAGAAGCCCTCTAACAGGCACCATTAGAACTGTGGAAAACATTCGACTGACCTGAATATGGATGGTCGACGCCTAACACGTCACACAGACAATGCATTAGGCAGCATCATTCATGAGAGAGGGCATGACAAAAGCTTTGGCACGCTGTGTTCCCTAATTGATTTCGATAGATACTTCTCACTCAAACTATGTGATCAATACCGTATCATTTCTTTCTCACTCAAACTATGTGATCACTACCTTATCATTTCTTTCTCACTCAAACTATGTGATCACTACCTTATCATTTCAGTCTGACTTGAACTATATGAACAGTATCTTATCATTGTAAGATTTCACCATGACGCTTCAAAATGTATTCTATCCAAGGAAAGTAATTTGCTGAAACTGTTCTGTTTGTAGTGAATGAACGTTTCTATGACAACGTGAACTACCACACCACTAAGCCGCGTTACGTTAGGTCGAGAAAGGAATAACTGAAACACGATATTAGAATTCTGGAACTGTGACATGTCCGATGTAGTTTGGTTGAAACCCTGAGCATGATGCAATGAGACAGTAATATATGCCTGAAATGAGCACACGCAATGGGTATGTCACGTCCAATGTGCACAGTTTCACATGAGATGACATGGATCGACTGGGGCAACGTATCGTTATGGCAGATTGTATTTTACAAACACGGAATATCGACTGTTGTAATTTCAAATCCTGGACACACGCACGCACGCAGCGCGCACACACTCACACAACTGATGGAACAGGATCCTGGAAAATATTCACAGTATCACACGAGCGAGCGAGTTTGGTTTTACGCCGCTTTTAGCAATATTCCAGCAACATCACGGCGGGGGACACCAGAAATGGGATTCACACATTGTACCCATGTGGGGAATCGAACCCGGGTCTTCGGCATGACGAGCCAACGCTTTACCCACTTGGCTACCCCACCGCCCCACAGTATCACACGAGATTCAGCATTCATTACTGTCGAGACATGAATGATCATGCAGGTTTGAACCAGAGGTGGGGATGATTGACATCATTCCTGGATCCTAGAGATGCCCGAAGTCGTAGGGACTTTGTCGTTGCTCATGCTGTCATCCACGTTATCTTACAAACCGCTATGTCACAGGCACTTGTGAAGATCCGGGTTAGAATTGATCTTCAGCAACCCATGCTTGTCGTAAGAGGCGACTAACGGGATCGGTTGGTCAGGCTCGCTGACTTGGTTGACACATGTCATTGTATCCCAATTCCGTACTTCGATGCTCATGCTGTTGATCACTGGGTTCTATGGTCCATCTATTTACAGATTGCCGATATGTAGCTGGAATATTGCTGAACAACAAGTAAGCAAGCTGTGCCGCAGGTGGCAATGAATTTGATTAACGCCGATTTTAATGGTCTCACCTTACATCGCGACCTGTCGGAGTTCAGTGCACGGAAAGCTTCGAGTGATACCGGAGGTCTATTATGGTGCTGACACACATAGAAACATAATCAGGGAGAATACGAGATTCGAACCCATAAATATATGATTATAACACATCTGATGGGCGCAAATTCATGGGAAACTGAGGCTTAGATGTACTGGTCTCATGTTTCACACACACCAACACGCACGCACGCACGTACGCACACACAAATATAACATACAGATACTATATTGCGTAGGTGTAACCAACACTTCCTCTCTGACGAAGGTGTCAGTCACTAAATGTCAGCCGCTAGTATCCCTGACTTGCATACCACACACACATACACTCAACACAGACAGCAGTATGAGGTTAACCCAGGGCGCAAGTACACACAGCATTAAAGACCTGTTGCCCATTTACAGACCAGCCCTGGCGCAATTCGTGTTGGTGTTATAGGATACTCACTAAAGGCTATGTCTGGTTCACCATACGTTTGGACTTTATCTACACGTACGAGCATACACTGTGTATTTAACAGAAAGTGTGGTCTTTTGGAACGACATGGCTGAGAATAGGACCACTGCCAAAGCACTCTCCAGATAGACGTCTATCCACGACGCAGGTCCCAAACGCAGACCCGTTTCCTGAGCGTCAGCGC